AAACATGAAGCAAATCTAAGGGCCCTCAGGGAGGCCCACGCACAGCTGAAGGATGAGCTGAGAGTGCCTTGCCAAACCCTAAACCCTAAACCCTAAACCCTAAACCCTAATCCCTACAGTCTAAACCCTAAAGCCTAGAAGCTTGTTGCTGTGGCAGTCTCCAGAGCGGCTTGTATTTGCTGCTGCTGCTGCTGCTGCTGCTGCTGCTGTTGTGGGGCCCCTCAGAAGGCTCAGGCGGAGTGCCAACGCGCGCAGGAAGAAGGCCGGCTAGCAGCAGCACGGCTGCAGCGGCAGCAACGCGAGTGGCAGCACCAGCGAGATGACCTCTGCGTCCGCCTCCGGGGAGGCATAGAACAGCTGCAGGCCGTGCTGAGTGCTGCTAGGCACCAGGAAGCAGAGATGCAGACCCTGTAGCTACTCAAGAAACCCCAACAAGCTAGATAAAACACCCTTGCAACCAGTAGCTAGCTGCAGCTAGCTACAACTAGCTACACACATATATATTGCTAGGTGCAGCGACGTGCAGCGAACTACTGCTAGCTGCACATGCATGGCTAGCTGTAGCTAGCTGTAGCTAGCTGTGTGAGCGGCTTGGGGCTTGGCCGAACTGGCACCAAGACTCATGGAGTGGCGGTGACGGGGCCCTCGTGCTGATATGCTGCAGAAGAGCAGCAGCTGCAAGTTGCAGGCCTCTGCCGTCTTTTGTTTCTTTTGTTTTGGCGAACACAGATGAACAGAGCTGTGTAAATACAGCGCATTTGTAACACATAAGGACTTCAACTATCTATAGCTAGCTGCGGCTAGTTGTGGCTAGCTGCGAACGCTGTGGCTAGCTAGCTAGCTAGCCACTGGCTGTGGCTAGCTCCAGATATCTGCGAGAGCTGGGGGCTTCGAGTGTGCTCACAGTCCATCTCCGGCGGGCTGCAATCCCACTGCTGAGCACAGCAACTGGCGGAGATACACAAACAAAACCCAACACAAAGAAAAAGAAGCAATGCCCAGCTGGGGGCCCCTTGGGGGGCCCTGTTTGAGGGGCCTCGTTTGGGGGCCCCCGTCTGGGGGCCCGCTCGGTGGGCCCCTCGGCGACCAAGGCCGATGCCCCTTTGGGGCCCTCGGTCGCGGTCCCGGCGAACGGCCAAGGCCGCTTGCAGGCGTAGCAGCAAGAGCTGCTGCTGCTGCTGCTGCTGCTGTTGCAGCACGCGCGGTTGGGCTGAGGCAGGGCCTGGGGTGTATGTGGGGTTCTGGCCTGCGCCGCTTTGTAACTGGATATTAGCGAGATACTGTGATTTATTTAAAGCAATAAAAGGTAAATAACTGCATTTGTATCCCCTTATTCACGCGGAAGATGCAGAGAAGGGCTGAGGTGTATAGGCACCTTGAGACGGCTGCGGCGGCGGCAGTACGGGGGCAGAGAGGGGCATGGGCTCGCAGTTTTTTTTGTTTTGTCACTAACAAACAATTGTTATTTTAAATAATATAATTATATTTCCTCCCTTTACTTATTTTTAATATTATTTCCACACAAGCCTGTGTGTTTCTGCTGGCTGTTACCGCGGCCCCCGCGAGGCCCCCCCGAGGCCCCCGCGAGGCCCCCGCGAGTCCCTGAGTATTGTTGTGTGTGTCTTTGTCTGTGTTTCCTCCTCTTGCTGCTGTTTCTCTCTGTTTTTTGCTTCAAAACTCTTTTGTATTTAAAGCATGCAGAACACTGGGGGGCTTCACAGCATAGGGGGCCCTAGCTGGCACTCTTACCGCCGCCTCGGCCTTCGTACATACACCCGAGACTAAGTATACTGGGGGCCCCCCCAGAAAAATGAGACAGAGGCAGCAGCTCCACGCCCCCTC